AGGATTATTGGTTACACCGACGACACGTTAATATGGGATGCCAGAATACATAAGATACCAACAACATTCATCCATATTGTGTTGTCTTCTTTCTTATGGACCAAATACAAGAATTATGGTATCTGAAAATGCTTACATTTGCCGATATGCATGTACCGATGTACATACATTGTCACCAATGTTTGTGTAAGTTGACGGGGAATTTACGTTCGTTATTACCTTAAGGTTATAAGGTCGAATTCCTCTCTAAATATATATTATTGATCTGGGGATAATGTTAAAATTACTAGAGATATTATGGTCTTAAACTATATTTGCTTTTTTTTTTTTTTAAAATGTATAAATATAAAGGTCGGAGATCTTTCTGTTAAAGGTCATATTTTACGAATCTTGAAGAACTAATGTGTCAAAAGATGAATCAATACATAACAATACACAAGCTGTGGGGAACTTGGGAATACAATGACCTACAACATAATTTGCTTCGCAGATGACATTCTAAATGAAACATAATTTATTTTATAATTTTATTAAAATGAATGAATTAAAATTAATTTCAAGGAAAACCTAGACAAAGCTACCTAAAAACAGAGGCAAATAATTACTATTTGTACTTATATTGTTTAGGGACGATTAGTACTTGTACTTTCTAATTCTCTAATTTTAATTTCCCTTTTAAATCCAAATGATGTTATTTTACGAAACAAGGCATATATATTCCCCCCTAAAAAATTGCATAAATAATTCCAAATTAAACAATTGTAAGAAGTATAATAGTACCTGAACCTTGACCCTGTGAACTGTGAAAGGTTAGCACTTAATTAAAAAGTATTAAAAAGAAATTGAAAGAAAAAAAATCCTAATAAACTAGTCTAAATGGGGAATATATGCACTTTTAAATTCTTTAATCTATCTTCTAATCTTCATTTTGTAAGAGGCATGCAATTCTAATAAAAAAAGTAGATTAGCAGCAAAGTTTCAGAGGGTTGTGATATCAATAGAGAATCATTAATTAAATAAATGAGATTAAGAAGTCAAACTTTGAGATCTCCTAGGATTCTCTATGCCCAAATTATATAATTGGATTTGGAGGTTTTGTCCAATTCAACTTGTTGCAACATGCTACAAGCCAACAATTACTTTAATTCATTTTTTGACCATCAACATGCACCTTGTTTTATAAAAGTTAGATGATGCTAACAAACTAAAGAGGATTTAATTAATTGTTTTGGTTTACTTTTGATTTCATTTTTTTTTCTTTTAGCTTTTGTTTCAACAAATTGGAGGATAAAAGATAAGAGGGACGGATATTTGTTCTACACATGTAACTTAATGCCGCTCTCCTATAGTTTATTGTGCCCCTCTACAAAACAACAAAGTTAACATGATAAACTATTGAGATTCAAAGAAGAGACTAATTGGTTAATGTTGTTTAACTAAATCAATATCAAGAAGTTTGTAAGCAAGTGTTTGTAAAAACTTTGGAGAAAATTCTCTCTAAGAAAGCAAGTTTAATGATATTTTCTTGATCATCTTTTTAATTTTCCTTACAATAACATTAGGAACCATCTTGATCTATTTATAGAGATAGAGGTATGTACATAAAAGAGTGTCCCTTAAGAGTCATGTCTTTTTACCCTAATGACATCAACTAACTTAATTATAATAAATATCATTATATACTGTTACATTTCTAAATTCATGAAAAAGTAGCAAAAAACATGTCTTTTCGCTCAAAAGAGGGCATAAGTTAATATACAACTACGTTTTATTGCAATATTTCATTTACTTACACTCCTCTCATTACAAACCACATATCATTAATTTTATCAACTCTCAATGATATAAATAATGTAAATCCAAAAGCACATTTAATAATATATAAATGTTCCAACAACTTTCTTATTGATGCTACATTCCTTTTGCATAAAATAAGGTATTATTATTTGAATATTTTAAGATTTGATATGCTTTACGCTCAAATCATCTTATATAGTCTGAGTTGGTTTGATATAATCTCCTAACATGTACGTATATTGAATGTGGTGGTGTCCTACTTACCATCCTTATGTATTAGTGTTATATGTATATTGTGCGGTTCATGAGCTAAGGCTAACACATCAAAGTGCAAAAATTTAAGGGTAAACCTTGGTTTATTTTGTTGAGCAATACTTTTGTGGAGGAAAAAATGAATAAGCACATTAGCTTTCCAAATATAATATGTGGGACATGCACTAGATAATCTCTCTTTTACTAAATGAATGGCCAAAGATACAGTGTTCCTAATCTTTCTACTTAACATATAGTCCAATTATTCCCTGCTTTATTAGTCCTTAGCAATTGCAATATTTATGTAGAAGATATCAAAGTGGTAGAAATCATTTTTATTCAAAGATAAAGCCTCTTTTTTGTCTAGTTCCCAAGGGACATTAGCTTTGTTAATTGTACTTAAACTCAATTAATTATCCTTCTTTTTGCAGTCTTTTAGTTTGGGGCTTTGGTTTGAGATTTGCTCTCAAGTGTGATAATTTGTAGCAAATCTATAATACCTTTGCGGCTGGCCTAACACGCTATTAACTTAGGCAATAATGAGGCATTTCAAGGGCTAAATTCTAGTTGATGGCTTTGATGATGCTTCCTCTCTCCAATTATTATTTATCATGTTTATGGAATGTTAAAGGACAAGTGGTGGCTAAGCTAGTAGTAGTCCATCACATGCTTAGATAGACATCAAGTTTTACCATTGTGAGCCAAACCAACTAACTCATCTTGAAACTGCATAAGTATGAATTTAATAAATTTTATACAATTATTACATTCTCCACCCAGAATTACATCATGCATCGTACTCTATTATATTCTTGAATTCAATTCAAGTCCTATAAATTTACAACTTAGCTCTATCTAATCTACTCACATTTTTATGTCAACTCGTTGCAAATAATTTGAAACAAAATAGTATTTTTCAAAAATATAAAAAGTAATCTATGTTAAAAGAATTGTATCACATAATTTCAATCGTGTGGATCATCAACTAGTTTAACTGGTTAAAGTCTTGAGGGGTGTTACTAAAGACCTGGAATCAAATCTCGTTCTTCATAAATTCATTAGAACTTCCTTTGTGACTACTATTCTCATTCGTATTATCTCATACGATGAGATAATCAAGGAGCATTGATAGAAAATTCTACCAATATACTTTCATTTGGTTTGGGATGTTCAATCGTCAATGAAAACATTTGATCGTTTCTTGTGCTTAGAGGTGTCAAAACCAAACCCACCCGGAAAAAATTATCCGTTTCGAACTGTAACCGATCCGATTTGATCCGAGAAATTCAAGACCCAAACCCGGTCTATAACCGAACTGAACTCAACCCGAATCCAAACTTGACCCGATCTGAACTTAACCCGACACCGATTTGATCCGACCTGAACTCAACCCGAATCCGATCTGACCTGACCTGAACTCAAACCGAACCGAGTTGACCCGACCTGAGCTCATTCTGATCCGAAATTGACCCGAAAAATAACCGATCTAATCCGAAATGTTTTAACCCGAACTGATACTAACCCGATCCGATTTTAACCCGATTTGATTTTTACCCAATCATAATTAATTATTTACTTTTTTATTCAATTTCTTATACTATATATTTACTAATTATTAATAAGTTAACTTTTTGACTACAAAAAAATAATCCGGAGCCTTAAGTTTACTTCATATACATATCAATTATATTAATTTACTTTCTAAGCTTTAATAAATGCCACAAGATCTAATAAACCTAAACATTAAACAGGAGTTAATTGATTTGCTTGTAAAGCTCTAGTTAAATGCTGCCTAAAGCCTATTGTTATTTTTAATGAATTTCCTCCCATTCTGTTATATTTTATTGACCCAATAATAAGGTAAAAACTAAACAATATTTCTAGTTTAAAAATAACCTTATTTGGATATGAATTTGGTCAACTCGACCAAAATCCAGCCAAACACAAAAAGGAATTGAACCGAAATTGACCGAACCGAAATCAACCCGACCCAAATTCATCCTACCCGAAGTTACCCGGCTAAGCCCATTTTAAACCCGATCCAAATATATCCGAACCGAAAGTGAATCGATCTGAAGTTGACCCGACCCATATCCGACCCGGACTCGATAGACCATGACCCGAATTTGACCCGACCCGAATTTGACCTGATCCGACCCGATCCGAGTTAAAAGAATATTTTTGATCCGAACAGACCCGACCCAACCCCATCCGGTTATCGGAATTAACACCTCTACTTGTTCTTGAAAGTGTAATATTGACGTTTGTTACAGACATATTCAATATGAATGGATAGAAAATACACATTTCATGCTTTAACTTTTTTTATTTACTCCGTATTTGTCAAAGGAATGTTGTAGCTAATCATTTCTAGGGATCACGTGTAATCATATAGGTGGTTAATGCAAATTTTCATTGCTTACACTCCGTTCCATCATTTTTTTGCTAGAGCATATTATTATTGATGCTTTACTCAATATTGATACTCTGCAATTCTGCATGTGCCAATTCGTGTACCCAAAAGTTGATTCAAATAATGGCGTTTTTAATAAATTGCATATTGCTTGCACTAAAATTATTGTAGGGTAAATATAGGATCAAACCCAATTATAGATAATCTAGCAATTATTACATACAAGGACATAAACTATACTGATTGATTAAAATTGCAAACAGCGCGATTAATGACAAGAGAATCGCTTCCTCTGTATTGTCCAAATTTTCGGCATCCATACCATATCAATATAGGAGTACCTTGTTTCAGTATCTTTGATCTGTCCAAATTTTCTGCGTCCATACTGAGCAATTCAGCATCTTTGATTTGCAGCTTGGTTCTTAAAGTGTGCATATGCATTGCTGCACCTACAAGTACTAACAAATTTCTCCGTACAATACATGGTAACTGGATTAAAAAAAATCAACCAAAAGATAAGAAACAGAGGACAAACAAGCCTCGAAGATGATAAACATGTACTGCATTGCAACTCAGTTACTGCTAACATTATGAACCACTAATGAAATATTTGCTGAGCACATGCGATATACTATATCTGTGAGAATTGCCACTAGACTAAGAGCAATTAGCATATTTGTTCAGTTGCTTGGATAGCCTATGATCTGTAAACTCTGGCACGTAATTAGCAGCAAATCAACAAAAGTAGAACAGTACACCATATGTTTCTCCAGAAGAATCTATAACCAACCCTCAGTAGCTGAGTTGAGCCAATGAGCCTATTTCCGATAGGATATATGGCAGAAAAAAATTGTAGAGATATTCCTGCTAGACTACATGAAAAGAACCGCTATAGTATTGATTTACATGATTTACAACCTTGTCAGTTTTGATTTAACTTCCAGTTCTCAAGAATTATTGTCACGGACCAAGTTGGTTGGTTCGCTCACAACATATTTCGGCAGTTCATACTTTGCACCTGTAAAAGCAATTTGAATACTTCAATGTAAGTTGTAAGAGTAATACTGATTTACAGGAACACAAATGAAAGTTAAAGGTAAAGCTGACTGGGTATGTCACCTCTCTCATCATAGCAAACAGTCAGGTCAGGATTTTGCACAATTACTCCAGCACTGTCAACAATTGCCTGTGCCATGCTCAGTTCAGCTTCCACAGCAGCACGGAGTGCATCCCAGATTTCTAATAAGAGAAAATTTTCATCATTTAGCCTAAAATATGAAACCCATCCATTAGAAATTTCTCAAGTCAACAAATTGACACCAAGTTAACGACGCACAATGACAGTAACACACAAACGACGGGAAGTCCTAAGCTCCCAACAGTAATCACTAGTAAGACAGTCAAGTAGAGGTCATATGAAAAAAGCTAACATAGTGAAAGTAAGTTGAGTAGTCTCCCAGCAACAACTATTCGCAGATCATATCAAAAACCTTACATTACATGTGAATCACAACAATTGACAATTATCATATCAATGTCTATCCACAAAGAAGCTATATATAACTTAACAAGAAAAATCCTTCGAGGGTAAATCATCAATTTGATAGCAGAGCAATTTTTAACAGGACGCACTGACACAACACACAAGGTAGTCACCATCATCAGCTTCAAATCTTAGTATCGAATTGGCAACAGACCATACACAAAATGAGCAACGATTGAGTAGCAAATAACTTTCCATGTGCCAAAAGGTATCCAGACATGAAAATTAAAGAGGAAAAAAAAAGGTGTAGCATATCTCAAACATTGATATTTAGCTTTAAAGCCTTACCATAAAAATTTATAAGAAAAGGATTAGTTTAAAGCATTATGCCCCATCAACACACAAAAACTAGAAAGATACATTAAAATTCAAAGAATTCATCTAGTAGCAAGTGGAGATATTATAAATGAAAAAAAAAATTGGTGGTTCAACAGACTGCAAGAGCAAACAGCAGAAACCGCAAAATACCAGAGAAGGCGGAGAATACAAAGAATATGTTCACAATAACTGCCAGTAGTATATGTGGAATGTCCACAATCCATCCACCGGGAAGAACAGTGCAAAACAAATTGTCTCCCTATTGACCAGACATATAGCACAACATGTTCAGGACAAGATTCCTTGACTAGTTTTAGATGAGTTAACAAGTTCTTCGCCTTTCCACCATCAAACCCAGAGTACAATTTCTGGAATCTTCTTTCCAGAAATTATTGAGGATAAAGTGCTGCAAGGGCCAAGTCACTGGACTTAGGGCATGTTATCTTCCTTTCCAGAGTGCTGACACTACTAGCCTACTAGCAAACTCCATAATAGCAGGCTAGTGTCAGTGTGGCTGTGCCCCTTGCCTACCTACCTAAGAAGAGATTAGGAGCATATACCATATACCCTCAATGGCATGCTCTATCTGATAATCTATAGTTGCCCCCCGGGAACACAGTCTCAAGAAAAGATTTAACCAGCTTGGAGAAATAATTTATCAGAGAGGATCATGCATGATATTTAGGATGAGTAGGTATTACCAAGTATTAATTGTCTCATCAGTAGGATAATTTTTATTTTATGATCAATATCAATTGAAAGCTTTGCTACATTCTACCAGCCTCCAAGCCCTTTTACTAATTGTTACTCGATTAATCTAATCCTACACAATAATTACATTCAATAGTTCTACAGATTGAGTAAAGAAACTCCATTAAGCTTTCTACCAAGGATAGTGCAATGGACCCGGTACAAGGAAGAAGCAACTTCAAATACGAGGGAGACAAGGAGCAACACTAGGAGACAAAACTAATTAAGAAAGCACTAGGGAGTATAGCAACATGGGCTGATTTCTGATAGCAGTAGAAGACAAGCTTAATTAATGTTAGGGTATCTTTGTGGTCTTGCTTGATTATATAAGAAGTAGCAGCATATGCAGTAGAGTATTATGTGAATTGTGAGGAATTATATTGAGAGAGTAGTAACCAAGAGTTGCTTAGAGAGTGATAACCTAAAGTTATCAAGAGAGTAATAGCATAAACCTATCATTTTGTAACCCTTTTGCCATTTTCAATCAAAGATGCAAGCTTTCATTATTATTCATTTGTCTTGTTAATTCTGAAATATGCAGTCTTAACCTAGTCTATTAAAGATAGAGTAAAACAAATGCAACTTATAAACAAATATTCTCCCAACCTTCACATTTTGCCCACTTCAACTACTGAAGGGAAGATGATATTCAAAAGTGAGAAAGCATTTTGGCATAGATGGAGTAGTGGAGTACTCTTTTGTTACACAAAATGCAGAATGCCTAACAATTTCAGTGATGAACTATGAAGTAATCAGAACACTTGAAGACATTTGAACCCCTTTTCAAAGGAGCAAATTACATCACAGGAGGAGCTCTCCAACTTATGTCACCATACACACAAGAAGTCACGTGACATATTTAATACAGAGCTTGATTGCTAATTCGACCATCTAGAAATGCCTAATGAAATCTAGTGACTGTACAGTCTAAACCAGAATAACTACCACCCTCATGTAAAAGGAAATTCTTCAGATTATCCCTACAAAGAACCATCAATAAAGATCCTTCGAGATAAAAAATACCACAGTTCGTATAAGTTAAGTGCATGCCAAATTCTCTGACCATGATCTGCAATTCTGCACCTACATATTTCATTGATTTGTTAACTGCTATACTGCAACTTTTGGGCACTACTGGAGGGAATTCCCAATATCACTTACTTTTACTACTATCCCTTGTATCCCCCCTCTTAACCACCTTGACATCATGGAAGTGTTTTAGAGACCCAATTAGCCAAATCAGGCACTAATTAATGACTTGCGGTTACAGAGTACAGACACAACAGAAAATAACAATAGTAATAGTACCACAAGTAGCATCAAGTGCAAAAATGTGCAGACATGAAAGGAGACTTCAAGCAGCCACACATACAATTGCAGATATTGCAGCACTGAATTCCATGAACTTCTAAAGACCATAACAGCTTTAAAAGACAGTAATTATGAAGTTTAAAAGCAGAGCATTGCTTGTTAACCAAACAAATACCTTGTCTGCCACCATAGTGAGGTGCTGTGTCCCAGAATTCCTCACGCATCCTATTCAGTTGTTCCCTAGTAATTGCTTCAGTATGCTTCCATGGCTTTGGCTTTCTGATCTTCTTAGCGCTATCTGCCAGGCACAAAAACAAAGAAATGATTTCAAAGGGAAATGCAAAATGGCATTAATGAACAAAAGTACAATAATAAGAATTTAGGCAGAGAGATAGAGCAGTCAACACAATTAACCATCAAGATTTTTTACATGTAAAGCTACAAAATACAAATAGCAATGATATAAAGACTAGTACAACTGGTCCACAGATTAAATGACAAGTGATAAATTTTATAAAAGAAGCGCCTCAGACTAACACCCAGCAGTTAAACTCTACATTTTTTTTGAGGGGAACAGTTAAACTCTACGTAAATACCTGAAAGGACTGTGATTCATCAACCTAATCACACAATGAGCCAAAAATTTTACCATGAATAAATTCAAACTCTAACGTTCAAAGTCCTAAAACCACAAAGTCAAAAGGGATCAAGAAGAGGATTTAATCGACATTCGCATTCAGTAGTCAACATACACGCACAGGGGTAAATTCTCATATTAGCAAGTGTCTACACAACTTACAATCATCATACCAGATGGCAGATAGTCACGGGATCAATGACATGCCCAACTTTAAATCCATATAATCATCAAACTCTGGTTCTTACTGTAGATTAAAGAGGTACTAAGCACCAGCTATCAGTTGAGCCAGATCATCTTTACTTGTTTGATGTTACCAATACCATTATACCAGATAGTCACCTTGTTCACTGATACGCCCAACTTTACAGCATTATAATCATTAAGTCTAGTTCTGACTGTAGATTAAAGATATACCCCATATTATGTATCAACTGAACAAGCTCATCTTTACTCTGTTCAACATATTACCAAACTCCAGCAACCCAGATGTAATTTTTTGGTCAGTCAGCAGTCAGAGTGTATTTATCCCAAAATTTTTGGAGCCAATTTCAGCCGACTTTTAAAAGCAAAAATAAGCTTCTAATTGAGCTCAGTGACATTCCCATAAGACGCTGCTCCATATACTTAATTTTGTCCATTCACTTCTATTGGAGTTTAAAAGAATGCTCAAGAAGATAAATGGAATGATGGGCAAGTAGCCAACCACCCCCTCCAATCAAAAGATTACTTTCCAATTCCAGTCATTTACAGTCCAATTTGGATCATTAAAAACACAACCAAGGGAAAGGTACCAGAAAATTATATGAATTTCTCATTTTGGAGGAATCAGGAATAGCAATCCAGATCGAATATCTAGCAGTACACCTATAAATTACAAAAGGGCATTCACAAGAATCACAGGTGAGAAATAAGTATTAAGCACTTCCTTTAACTTAACTCACTAACAAATTTCGAGGGAAAAAGCTCGCATAACGGCATAACCTAGTATATTAGCATATCACATTACAATTTTGTCCACTTTTTATCTGCAAACAATTCCAATTAAGTACATTAAACACTTACGATTTTAAAATACTTTTAATTACCAGGTCAGCTATACAAGTACAAAATGGTTTCACTAAATCCGATTTGTTGATTATGCAAAACCAGGATGTTGTGGTAAATCTGCAAAATACTATTGAGAGAGGATTTTCTATAATCTTGTGTAGTTTTGTAGTTATTATATTGTGAGTAATCAACCATACAAGATAAAATATTAGTATCTGTATCTGCAAGAAGCCTCACTAAAGCATATAGCATCATCAAGCGTCTAGGAATATGAGGGACAACAGAAAAATGCAATATGCATGAAAATATAAGAGAAAAAAATGGATGAAATAACTCATACATGATAGCAATTGTTTAAGTTTGCGATTTGACAATATGTTTTTGTTATATACTTCCTCCATATATAAATATTGCAGAGGATGCGCAGATGTTAAAAAGCCTGTTTGATGAGGAGAGATAGAGGAATAACAAGCAGGACGCAAGTGATGAGGAGATAGATAGAGGGAAATCATGCACAAATAAGGAAAATTTGCAATAATGTACACGTCCGTAAAAGGGAAATGTTGCAATATTCAAGGAACAGAGGAAGTAATGCATAAGAGGGAAAAGGTTCATTAATTTTAAAATGTAATATAAAATAATACGAAGTAGATCTTGTTACAAAACGGTGTTCAACTGTATGTCTGTATCAAGGAGATACGTTTTTGTCTATGCTAAAAGATGGAGACATGGAAATATAAGGGATGATAAACAGCAAAGTAGGGAAAAAAGTTACTCCCTCAGGCTTTTAAGATCATAGTTTAGTTACAATTTATGAGTTTATTTCCTTAAATTCTCATACTAAAAATGATTGCTAGGAAGTTTATAAAGAGACACATTTCAAATCTTACATTAAGAGGGTTTGAGAAGATTCGACATTAATTTGCTATGTTATTGATGCTATGATTTCACCTAAGTATAGATATCAAATTCTTGACACGCTGATATAAATTTAGACATTTGGCAATTAGTTTTCACCAAAAGTCCAGAACATGGAAACTTTTCATTAGAAATCCAAATAAAATCACTTTAAAGACCCATAGACTAATGAAGGATATAACTGGCATGACTCATGAGCACTTTTAAATTGAGACAGCTGACAAGGCTTGTCATCAATAATGCTTAAACTAATATCTTATCATCCTCTAGCCGACTACCTCAACAACTTAGATTTGTGGCCAACGAAAACATTATTTGGCAGGACACGTTATCAGGTAAAGTCTAAATCAAGTTCAAGAGACTACCTTAACAACTTAGATTTGTGGCCAACGGAAAAATTTACTTGAAAGGCTACGCTACCAAGCAAAGTCTAAGTCAAGTTCAAGAGACTATCTTAACAACTAAGGTTTGTGGTCAACGGAAAAATGTTACTTGGAAGGCCACGTTACCAAGCAAAGTTTAAATTAAGTTCAAGAGACTACCTTAACAACTTAGTTTTGTGGCCAACAGAAAACATTACCTGGAAAGCCACACTACCAAGCAAAGTCTAAATCTAGTTCAAGATTACACGAGAAAAGGCATGATTTGCCAGCTAGAAATGTCTTAAAATGATGAAATAGAGTATCACTAATAATGTGAATAAAAAACACGAAATGCCTACTATCTGACTATCCCTTAAGAAAACCTTCTTCTTTAGCGTTTCTTCCTCCACCACCGGCCCCTCCCCATCCAAAAAGGACATCGAAAAACCATACAGAACCTAATTCTGGGATGAAGTGCCAATTGTTCTCTCACATAACTCAAAAAAGACAATTATTCCAAAAAAATGAAAATGAATTAGACGGCCAAATATGACTATTCCGGAAATTGACAGTTGCATCTAGTTTTGATTTGAACATGATAATGTAAGTTCTGTACAACTCGAATCAATTACCAAGACTTATTGACATATACTGGTAACAATAACTAGAATGACTCCACATTCGATAAAGAAAACACAGCAATCATAACAATGCAAGATCGAATCATCGCTATTCAAATTACACGAATAATCCTGACTTTTCTGTTAGCTACTCAAACAATCACACTTCCAAAAATTTTTGATATCTCCTTAAAAAATACTTACATTATTAAACCAAGAAAAACAAAATTAATAGTAGCAATATTATATAGTACACAAGCTAAGATTATTTAAATCGAATGATTGAAGGCAGCGCTGTAACTACTCATAATTATAATCAAGAATTATTGTTAAATGTTAACTACTTCATAACAATCACAAACTCAAATTATATTCCAATTAAGAAATTCAACAAGCTGAATAATACTAAATATGCATCATTAGTATCACAAATTCAACTCAATCCTCAGAAATCAACAAAACAACAGCACAAAAATCTGGAAAATCAACAAAATCATCATTTCGAACTCAACGAATTTAACGAAATGCAGGATCAAAAATCACAAACAAAAAAAGAAAAAAAAAAACGAATTGAATTGAATTTCTTGAAAATTGAGGAATTGAAGCTGACCAGCACCAGTAGTTTTGTCGCGCGAAGAAATGCAACCCATGGCCGAGCGAAGAAGACGATCGAATCTTTGAGTTTCTCTCTCCTCTGTTAGTTTCTCTCTCTAACAGCAGTTAGTTGGAGAACAATGGAAGAATCAAGAGTGATGAGAGAGGAGAGAGAGGGTTTTGGGGATATTTAAAGGGAGAAGAGGAGGAAGAAGAAAGGCAAAATGAAAATTAATGGATCGCTGTTTGAAAGTGATTTGGATATCTAATGATTTATTTTTTTTTGATAATTATTATGAGCATAACCAGGTGGACCTCTTTACAGGATAGAGGATTAGAGGGTAGTCCACTATTAATTCTTCCAAGTTTCCCACTTCGTTGAATAAATTAAGTAGGTCGTTCATTTCACCCTAAAAAAAATAAGGGTAACGCTATATGTAGCCTAAGCCAATAGTTGGTTCCTACATGCGCCTGTACGGTGCAACGTACAGTCGTTTTGTAGGAAAGAACATGATATATAAAAGTAATGAACATAAAGTTATAGTGAAAAGAACATACTATTAAAATGTAATGAATATATACCTAAAGTAGAAATAACATAATATTAAAATGTAATGAACATATACATAGAGTAAAAAGAACATATTTGCACCAAAAAAATAAATAAAAAGAACATATGTTTATGTTCATTGATTAATCAATGTACTTTATTTGCAACATAATGATCATTGCTTAATGTGAAAAGTGTTTAGGGTAATTTTACCCCGCCACGTGGTCCAATCAGAGGATGACACGTGTCAGCCTCAGGATGGCCCAAAGTGGACCAATCCCTGCTTGACAAGTGTCACTCCAGAAATTAAGGGAAAAAGGCGGCCCTCAGGCCCAAATCCCGAGAAAGCCGCAAAGCGGCGCAGCCCACCAATGATTAGGGTTCAGTGACCTAATCAGGGGCACAAATCCCAAAGACCCTATAAATAGGGAGATGTCCCTCTTTTTAAGGGCACATTTTACCATTTATTACACATTTACTCTTTGATAGAGACATCCTGAGCTTGGAATCCGAGCAGAACCCCACCTAAATTTCCGCACCTTTTTCTCCTTTCAAGCTTCTAACTTGTGCGTCGGAGGCGGAGCACCACCCAACCGGTGTCTCCGTTTGTTTTGCAGGTACAGCTCACTCCGGATCAGTCTTCGTGTTGTAACTCTCCCGAGGGACAAAAACACCCAAAACATTTGGCGCCGTCTATGGGGAGAGTACCTCGAAGATGGTTCAAGAGTCTGTACCACCCCCTAACCATCTGGGCGAAGACCCAGAAGTCTTTACAGACCATGAGGATGAAGATCCTCAAGTCGAAACCTTTACAGCCGAAGACGGCTCTCTCAGAATCAAGCGCATCCGGCCCAGAGAGACTCTGGAGCGGGGTGCCTCCCAGGCGGGTGCAAGTAGACCCCCTGGGCAGCCGGAAGGGGAAACCCATACGACAGCTGGATCAGCGCCTGTCACCCGAGACGAGCTCATGAGATTCATGACAAGTTTCAAGGGTGAAATTAAAGAGCTGATCACCCAGAGCCGGGCTGGCCCAAGTAGAGGTCAGTCGGCCAAGAAGACTCCTTTGGAAAAGGGGAAGTCAGTCAAAGATCGGCAGCCCACTCCTCATCCAAAGGAGAAGGCAGCCGGGACCATTGATTGGTCCAAAATTCTTTTTCCTAAGGGGAATAACAATAACTCCCGCCGGACTCAACAGCCGGTGAGAAGTAAGAAGTCATCTCTTGATGCCCGGGAGATCATCAACCGGAAGAGAAATCAGCAGCTGTCTGAGTTGGCTTCCACGTCGAACTTTCCTGACAGCTTTAACAATACCTCTGTCGAGAATGCATCTTCCTTGCATGAGAGTCAGATAGGCAGTAATACCGTCCATTCTGGCCCTCATATGATTGGAGTTGTACCTAGGGATGTCAGTGGGGCGGGTCAAGTAGGAGAATCGCCCCATCCCCGCCTCAATGGGGCGGGGATGGGTCTCGGTTTGGCGGGTGGTGGGGCGGGGATGGGGATAAAAACCATACCCGCCATGGGTGATGGGGTGGGGGTGGATTTTAAGTTGTACCCGCCCCATCCCCGCCCTGCCCCACTTCGTACCCGCCTCATCCCCACCTCATACCCACATCTATATATCTTTTAAAGCAAAATTACATACTTTTATTCAATTTATAAAATAATTACATGAAATACAATATTAATTATAATACTTTGTACGACACTTCTATTATAACACAAAAATGTGTATAGAATGTTTTATTTTATAATTCGTATTAATTATGTAAGATTGTGTATTTGAGATACGGATATTAGGTGGATCTTGGGTGGGGATTAGGCGGGTCTTTGGTGGGGATTAGGTGGGGATGGATATCTAAGTGGGGGGTGGGGCGGGGATGGTTTTGGAGTTGTACCCGGTGGGGTGGGGATGGGGATGAAAATTGGACCCGCCGCGGGGATGGGGATGGAGATGGAGATGAAAATATTAGGTGGGGATGGGGATGGGAAGGCCAACATCCGCCCCGCCCCGCCCCATTGACATCCCTAGCTGTACCGTATGTGCCTACTCAGGTCTACGCCCAGTATCCCCCTCATTTCATGCAGCCGGCCCTCTTTGGAGGTCAGGCGGCATACCAAAATGTCCAACCACTGGACTGGAAGCTTCGTCTGCTTCGCCTGGGTGAACAACCTTCTGCGTTCACCCGGGAGATAACCGAGGCGGCACAGTTGTCCAAGGTTAAGAATGTGTTGGTTGGTACCTATGACGGTACCACCAATCCGGAAGACCACCTCATGGCTTATACCAACCTCATGTATCTGCAGGGGTTGGATGATGCCACTTGGTGTCGTTGCTTCCCGACTACATTAAAGGGCATCGCTCAACAATGGTTTGGTAATCTGCCAGCCGGGTGCATTGACAGTTTTAGGAAGCTTGCCTTCCTATTTGCTTCCAACTTCTCAATGAACATCCCTGCTAAGAAAACAAGCTTGGACTTGAGCACCATTAAGCAGGGGGAGAGAGAAGGGTTGCGCTCTTATGTCAGGCGGTTCAATCTGATTAGAATTCAGATTCAAGGACTGTCTGATGAGGTAGCTTTTACAGACTTTTTCAAAGGTCTGAGAGACGGGTCGACTTTTAAGTTCGACCTAGTCAGAAAAGGGGCTTTCACCTTACAGGCGGCCTTGAGGGAGGCGGAAAGCTACATTCAAGCTACCGACCTCTGCTCACCTGGAAGCCAGTCGGACTCAAAGAGGTCCGACAAGCAGAAAGACAGCCGGCCTGCCCAGCCGGCCAAAAAGAAAGAAGACAGCAAGAAGAGAAAATAAATCTGGGCGGTTAGTGATTCTGGCCAGCCGTCCCAGAAGAAGAAGAAAGAGTTTAAACCGTACGTCCCCAAGTACGAGTTTAACAAGGACTGCAATTCCATCCTCATGGAAATTAAGGACCGACTGTCCCTAGAGAAGCCGAATCCAATGAAAAGTTTCATTCAATCAAGGAACAAAAATAAATTTTTCCAATACCATGAGGAAGTTGGCCATGAAACCAACGACTGCTTCAGCCTTCAAAGAGCGTTGGACCATCTGGCTGACAAAGGAATGCTGAAGTCCTACATTTCCAAGTCCCCAGCTGGGGCAAAGAAGAAGAATAAGGGTCAGTCCTCCAAGACTACCCCCCAGCCTGCTAGTAGCTCGGATACCAACAAGGAGCCGGTCTACACAATAGCAGGCGGGTTCTCCTGTGGTAGCTCTACCATCCGGGGCACCAAGAGCCATCTTCGAAAGATGGACAAGGATGATGATGAGCAGGCGTCTGCAAGCACCTCCTTCCCAAACGTCTTGATCACTGAGAAGGACAGGGGCAGTGTACGCCGTCCGCATGATGACCCGGTCGTCATTGAATGTAAGGTTGCCAACCAGCTGGTTGGACGGATCCTTATTGACACCGGCAGCTCATCAGACATCATCAGCCTCCGGTGCCTGCAAAAGCTGAAATACAATGTTAGCAGCATGCATCCTGTCACCCACCCCTTGGTTGGTTTTGGGGGTGGGATGGTCTACCCAGCCGGAAGAATTGACTTGCCCATCTGGCTGGGAGAGAAAGGCCAGGGACGACATATTGTCGTCAGATTCTTGGTCGTTGAGGAGTTAATCGCCTACAACATTATCCTTGGCCGGCCGACCCTCAACGTAGCCAAGGCAGTAATCATCCCGTCTCTCATGCTCATCAAGTATGAGAGGGATGAAGGCACTGTTGGTTCCCTAAATGGGGATCAGAAGACGGCCCGAGAGTGCTATCTCTCAGCTGTTAGAGACATTGTGGCCCTAGGCGCCAGGAACCAATAGACCTTGACAATGTCAAGGATGCCGACCCAGCGCCTGTCCCACCAGCAGCCGGGAAGAAAAGAAAGGCACCTCTGCTGGTGGAGGTAAAGAAAGAGAAGAAATAGCAATCACTGATCGGTGAACGGTCAGATGAGCTCCGTCCCCAACCGGCTGGTGAACATATTGATATACCTCTGGACGACAGCCGTCCAGAGCGTACCGTGAAGGTTGGGACGGTTGCCTTTGCCAAGTTAGGTGCAGACTTGCACCTTCAGGCTGAAGGAATTCAAAGACATTTTTGCCTTTGAAGTGGAAGAGATGTCAGGCGTCAGCCCGGATCTTGCTGTCCACAAGCTCGCCGTGGATCCTAAAAAGAAGCTCATCCGGAAAAAGAAAAGAAACCACGGTGAGGAAAGAAGTCAGGCGGCAGCTGCCGAAGTCAAAAAGCTGCTAGACGCCAGGTTCATTCGGCCTTGTAACTTCCCCGACTGGGTGGCCAATGTGGTTCTTGTTAAGAAACCGAATGAGACCTAGCGCATGTGTGTTGATTACACAGACCTCAACAAGGCGTGTCCAAAGGAAAGTTACCCGCTTCCAAAGATCGACAGTCTGGTCGATTCTAAAGCCGGTCATGCCTTGATGAGCTTTATGGATGCCTACTCCAGTTTCCATCAGATACCCCTGTGGAATAAAGATCAAGAGAAGACGGCCTTCGTCACTGATCAGGGGTTATTCTGTTATACTGTGATGCCGTTTGGCTTGAAAAATGCGCCTGCCACTTTCCAACGGATGATTAATACGGTCTTCATTAATCGGATTGGGAGGAATGTGGAGGCGTACATTGATGACATGATAGTCAAATCCAAGCTACAGACGGATCACCTTGCTGATCTCCGAGAAACATTCACCACCCTCAAGCGGCATAAGGTTATGTTAAATCCTAAGAAATGCGTCTTTGGTGTTGAGTCTGGGAAGTTTCTCAGATTCCTGATTGATCAAAGAGGGATAGAGGCTAACCCTGAAAAGATACAGGCGGT